TTTTTTAAAAATTTTTCTTCGACTTCATCCTGAATGTACATATGAGCAATAGATGGTCATATCTGCAGTCGGCCCATAGCCTTATTTTAGCTGATGATATTGAGCTTCTCCATCGTCTCTTCCCACAGATATAGTTGATTTGATTCCTGTGTGCTCCATATGATGAGGTCCACGTGTAAAATCACCACTGTTGAAAAAAGGTATTTGCAATGAATAAGTCATTGGTCTTGCAAAACTATATCATGTGATCTGCAGCATCGCTTCTATTACCAGTCATATTTTCTAACTACCTAACTTTCACATTCCAGTTACCAGTAATTATTATTGCATCTTGATTGCATGTTTCATCAATGTCAGATGAAGAGATTAGTACAATTTTTCAATTTCTTCATCATTTGTTTTAGTAGTTGGTGCATAAATTTGAAAAATAGTGGTATTAATTGATCTTCCTTGTAGGTTTATGGATATTATTCTATCACAGACAGGATTGTGCTTCAAGATAGGTATTGAAATTCTCTTTTTGACCATGAGTGCAATGACATTCCTCTTCAGCTTGTCTTTCCCAACATAGTTGTTGTTGTTGTTATGTACCGTGGAGTCGGCTCTGACTCATAGTGACCCTGTACAGAGTTGTGAGGCTGTAAATCTTCATGGGAGCAGAAAGCCTCATCTGCCTCCCACAGAAGAGCTGGTAGTTTTGAACTGCTGACCCTGAGATTAGCAGCCCGATTCGTAACCACTACACTACGAGAGCTCCTTTCCCAACATAGTAAACCATATGATTGTATGATTCAAAATGGCCAATACCAGTTCATTTCAGCTCAGTGATGCCTAGGATATTGACCTTTATGCATTCCATTTCATTTTTGACAATTTCCAATTTTCCTAGATTCAGACCTTGTACACTCTACATTCTGATTACTAATGGATGTTTTCAGCTATTTCTCCTCATTTTGAGTTGTGCCCCATTAGTAAATGAAGGTCCTGAAAACTTTGTTACATTCTCATGAAGATCAACTCTACTTTGAGGAGGCAGCTTCTCCTCAAGTCTTCTTCCTCTTCCAACCTGAGGAGCTCATCCTCTTGTACTATATCAGACAATGTTCTACTACTATTATTCATAAAGTTTTCAATGGCTAACCCTTCAGAAGTGGTCTGCCTCTTCTTCTTCCTACTCTGTCTTGGTCTGGAAGCTCCACTGAAGCCTGTCCACCATGGGTGACTCTGCTGGTATTTAAAATACCAGTGGCATAGCTTCCAGCATCACAGCAACACACAGCCCACCACAGTAAACAAACTAACAGATGGGTAGTGGAGTTTCATGAGGTAGGAACTTCTATTGTTGGCTTCATACCTTTCCTCATTTCTAATCTAACCATTTAGTGCTATCAGTTTTCCTCTCAACACTGCTTCACCTGCATCCAATATATTTTCCTTTTCCTTTTCCTTCAGTTCTCTGTACCTTTTATTCGTTGTACAACTTCCTCTTTTGCCCATCAATTATTTAAAAGTGTGCTGTTTAATTTCCATACGTTTGTAGATTTGCTTGTTATCTTTCCGTTAATTGATTTCTAATTTTATCCCTTTGCAGTTTGAGAACAGACTGTTTGTGATTTCATTCTCCTAAATTTCTTGAGGTTTGTCTAATGTTCCATGGTCAGTAGAAAAAAGTCAATATTCTGCTGTTGTTGATCAGTTGTGTTGTCTGGGTAACTCTAATAGTTCTATCAGTTGCTGAGAAAGAGCTGATGATGTCCCCAATGATAATTACAGATTTGTCGATTTCTCCTTTCAGTTTTTGCTTCATGTACTTTGGATGATTGTCTTCTTTGTAGATTTATTCATTTATCAATGTGTAATGTCCCTCTCTGTACTGCGTAATTTTCTTTGCTTTGAAGTCAACTTTATCAACCAATACTACAAGTAGCCAATAAAGTAGCCAAATTGCTTTCTAGCCATTCTTTTTACTAATTTTTAATTCATGCTTTCAGGATATATCTTCTTTATCTCTTTACTTTCTAATTGAATGGCAATTACTTTTTTATTTCTCATTTACATTAATATTTCATAAAAGTCTACTATGTGCCAGACATTAGGAATATTAAAATGGAAAAATGCTGACATGCTTTCCTGCCCTAAAGCCCACAAGGCCTATAAATAATGTTTCCATGTATATTTGACATGTGGTAGAGCATAATGCATGTTTATTAAATATTTGTATGAGGGTTTGTGAGACTATTAGGGACATCCACAGGAAATCCTGAACATTGGGCACCTTTCTTAAAGGCCCCGTAAGAGTGAACTCAAAACAATAAAAAAAAGTTACATTTTCTTCACCTATAACCGACTCAACGGCACCTAACAACAACAACAATTCTAAGACCTATCATAATAAGGATACTTTCCCGTCTCTAGCCCAGTAGCGTTTTGTTTTATTTTTAATTGAAATAAAATGGACATTTCAGGGACTAAGAGACAAAATCTGGCTAAAGTATACCTTTGTTCCCAATATATAATTGCCAAGTCGGAGTCCTGAGAGACAACAGTCCATGGCCTACAGTTCTGGCTTGAGGGTAACGCTCAGCAATGATCTACCAAATTCTCATCTCATTGTTGCTTACTCAGAGATTGGGGGTTTTTTCACACTGTCTAAAATCAATCCTCACAGGGAACACTCAATAATGGCCTAATTTTCCTCAAGACAGAAATTGTGATCCTTTGGTGAATCCACTCTGTGATACTATAAGATTAGTACTGGACTGCTAACCACAAGGTTGTTGGTTCAAACCCACCCGTAACTCCTTGGAAGAAAAATGAGATTTTCTGCTCTGATAAATAGTTACAGTCTTGGAAACCCTATAGAGAACACTATGAGTTGTTGCTTTATGAATTAATGAACAAACTCTTTTTCTAAACTATAAATATAAAGAGATAGAAAGTAATAACCTTGAACAAGAGGCCTGAGAAAAGAATCTATAGATGTTGTTCATCCTTCCTAATGGCTATCCAAGCAACCCTGGTGGCACAGTGATTAAGTGCTTGGCTACTAGCCAAAGATTGGCAGATTGAACCCGCCAGCCCCTGTGGCAGTTTACGTCTTATAAAGATTAAAGTCTTGGAAACCCTATGGGGGCAGTTTAAGTCTCAGAAATGGACTTGGTTTGGGGTTTTAATGGCCAACCATCTATTAGTGTCATCTGTTTCCACAAAATGGGGAAATCATTATATAGAGGTTTCTGGACACTCAGGCCACATTTGGGATTTTCATCATTGTCTCTCACCTCTGGAGAGTCAAATTTACTGGTATAAGCAGGAATTAGGGACATGCACCAAAAAGTAGGCCTGCTATTAAACGTAAATAGGGAACAATCATAGTCCATGCCACCATGACAGGACACAGACACACAGACATGTCGGGCTTTCACATGTGTTGTCTATACGGAAAGATGTGATAGATTAAAAACAGGTGAGCTTGTCCTTTAGAAATGTCAATGAATTAATAGAATCAGCTTCTTAACAAATCTCTCTCAAAACCAAAGCCAAACAAAATCCTCAAGTCATTAATGAGTATTGTCCCTACTTTTGACAGGGTTGGAGATTATCATGGAATGGTGTAAAATACAAGAAGAATTGAATGGTATCTCCCTACTAGGCATTTCAAAAGTACAATACATCATGTGCTATATCAAAAGAAATAGACGTTTTCCAGAAACATGCAGCAAAAAGGCTGTTTATCTAAATGTGCTAACCATTTTTACCTTGGGACTTGGGGTGAGAAAGTGAGAAGTGGGTTAGGACCTTGGCTTTGTATTCTCTTTATTTCTGTAGCCTTTGAATGTTTTAATAAAGACCACATCCTGCTTTTATAATTAAGCAATTAAAATCAAAATCAATTATTAATAGATATTGTCCTGCGTCATCAATGTTGAGTCAACTCTTCTTTAAAAACAATTGAGGGAATTATTTTTAAAAGGGAATCCGATTTTTATAAACTTAGTATCTGTCCCCAGGATGTTTTCCTCTTACAAATTCCATTTGGTTTTTCATTGTATGGCTGACTGCTTAATGAACCACTTTAGTTAGCCTTTCCCCGGGGTTAACTCACAACTCTTCCTAAATAATCTCAGAATCAGTTTACTAGAACAGGTGTTGTTTTCTAGACAGCTCTTGCCAAAGGGCAGCATAATAATTAACAAGCTTCAGAACTGGAGAAATCAGGGTCTTATTTCTGGCCAGGAGGATACGTGCCACACACACAAGAATGCATTTGAGAGTTGCCATTTTAAAAGGAGACTTTCCCACCATAATACAAGAATTCGGCATTCTTCTAAATATGCATGTCTTCTTCTCTGAGAGCAACTCTTAAACATTTAAGGATTCTACCCTTTCTTGCAACAAAATGAAATTGTTTTTTGAAAAACTTGCCATTATATTTCAGGGTCCACTCTTTTGTTTCAGATATTTCACATGTGACCAGGTAGCTAAAGTCAGCTACACTATATATACCAAACAAGCTAGGTCAATTATTCAACCTACACATTTAGTATTGAAACTGATTCCTGAATGTGCAATGTGTAAAAGGCTTGAAAAGGAATAGCATTTCCTGATTGATATGCAGACAATGTGAGCTTCAGATGTTCTTCAGGTTTACTGTGCTTAGGAAAAAAGATGTTCTTAATTTTAGACATTAACAACACATCATAAATGAAGTGCCTAATGTCATTAAGTGCCATGGAGTTGATTTTGACTCATAGCGACCCTGTATAGTGTTTCCAAGGGTTTTTGTTTCCTTTTGTTTTGTTTTTAATCTTTTGCAGGAACAGAAAGCTTCATCTTTCTCCCACTGGATAGCTGGCGGGCTCGAAGCTTTGGCCTGTGCTTTGCAGTCCAGTGCTTAATCTATGGAGCCACCACACCTGAATGTCTAGAAATATCCATAGTTTCTTGCTGTGGTTTACTCTATAGTACGTCACTCTAACATGCTACATTTGATATTTTAGGAGTTCGTGATGATTGTCGTCTTTGGTTTGGAGTTCATCATTCGAATCTGGTCTGCGGGCTGCTGTTGCCGATATAGAGGATGGCAAGGAAGATTGAGGTTTGCCCGAAAACCTTTCTGTGTTATAGGTGAGTTTCAAAGGCTGAGTATCCAAGTCGCAGGACTGACCTAAATTTAAGGTACCACATCCTTCTCATTTGATTAGTGTTGAAAGTCAACATTCGTGGGCCAAGCGGCTCCTGAATTTTAAGAGCATTGACTAATTTAATCCTTACCATGACACTATGAGATAGGTATTTTACCATCCCCATACTACAAATAAAGACACTGAGACAAAGAGAGTGAAGTAAGTTGCTAAAAATTTCATGATTTACTTTTAAATATACTACTGGGAGATTCCAGATCCCAACTCTAAAACGGTGTATGGCATTTGAATTGAGAAGTGTCATTTCAAGTTGGTACCCAGGTGAATGGAGTCCCTCTGAAATTGCAGCAGGTAGGGTGGTACAGGGAGCAGATGGTTCCATATTACAAGCACTGGACTATCGTACAAGATTGGCTGGTGAATTTGAACCGCCAACCTTGTGGTTCAAATTGACCTTTGGGTCTAGTGCATTATCCCACAATGCCACACCAGGAGTTACAATGACTCAAAAGAAAAAGCTAAGTTAAATCGACCTTAAAATACCATGTTTGGCAATCTATTTGTCCTGCAGCCTCTTTTCTAAGAACAGGCTTAACTTCTGTTTAGAAGTTGTTCTGCTAAAGTGGGAATAAAGGTAGGTTCTAAGTGCAATCATGCAGGTTCATCAAGCCTCAAGGCATGTTAATGAATGCATTTGATTTTACACCCTGGAGATTTTTTTCTCTTTCTGAATTTGCTGCTCAGGCAACATTATGAAGGATTGTAGCCTGATGTTATGAAGTACCCACTATTTGGTTCTGACTCATAGGATTTCTGAGGAATGGCTGCTGGGTTTGAACCACTGACCTTTCAGTTAACAGTCCATTGCTTATCCTACAGCAATAAATATTTTCTGTCCCTTAGAGGCCCAAACAAAACAACTAACAAGGCTGATGTTGGCCAAGATTCATTCAACTTCTACAGGATTTAAGGTCGGTTCATGGATGACTACAGGAATATTCCATTCCAGATTTTAAAACCAATTAAAAATTGGTTTTGTTCCAATTCCAGAGGCAATGCCAACGTAGTTCTGGTCTCCAATTTCAAAAGAAACTTCTTTCCCAGATGCCTGCTGCCATTTGATAAGTGTTTTCAGCTATAGATACATCAGCTGGTCTTAGTCTTTAAATCTTTCTTTCACTGTCTCAGATCCTTGCAGATCTTAACTATAGTTCAATTAATTTGAGCGTTTGTTTCATTTGGGTATCAAATGTTAATAAATTAATTGCTTTGAAAGAAAATTTCATGGCTAAATAAATAATATTCATTAGATACGGTTGTCACAACTATAAAGGTAGCCGTTATATAACAGAAAGGGGGAGCTGTTAATCTTGAACTCCAGGAACAGAGGATCCTAGGACCAACAAGAGGAAAGAACAGGAACAGAACATGGGATCCTGACCAGAGAAGCAGCAACACCAGAGATGGAGGCAGACGTGATGGCATGGAGAGATAGAGCAGCTGAGGACTCTAGACTCAGGGAGAGAAAGGCTGTGTTCTCATGGGCAGGAGGCTGGCTTGCAAAATGTTTTACCAGTTGTATATATCTGCGTGTTTTTGTGTACATCAAGGGAGCAAGGGGAAGAAGTAGAGGCAAATACTGTTGGCTGATGGTGTATGGAGGGGACTGTAATCATTATAGTGACGCAAAGTGGGATTAGTTGAGTGCAAAACTGATTTTCTGCAATGTAAACTATCAATTAATAATAAAAGCCTTTAAAAAAGGATATTCATTAGAATAAAGATAAAATCCTACTAAGACTTTGGCGTGTGTGTATGTGTGTGTGTGCAGTCTTTTGCTAAATGTATGTGTAAATTTGATCCATGGTTCTAGTGAACTGATGTAATAATGCAACATGTTTTAATGTGACTCTTCAGTATGTGTTCAATAAAATTTAACCTGTACTAAAGAAGCAAATGCCAACTACTTCAAGGAAGCAAGTTTTAGCAGATGAGTGTTGAAATCTTTTTAGGCCTGTTACTAGGTCCATGAAAATAATATCGCAGGTAAAATTATAAAGTGTAAAGGGAGTCTCGTTGTTTCCTTGTTCAACCTAATGTACTGCAGTGAAATGAAAAAAAGAATGGCATCTCTCTTATATGTTTCTCTCTCAACTGTTCTGAGTGGAAGTTTGGAAACGTTGTTAAGACTGCTCAAAACACCATGCATTTATAAGATTGCTTTAATCTGAACATGTTCAATACACGCCCAAATTTTCTTAGCAGTCTTAAGCATCCAAAAGAACATAGAAAAGATTGTGGTAACTTAATTATATACCTTCAACATGGGAAATGCAGTTGTTTTTGTTAGGTGCCATCGAGTCAATACTGACTCATAGTGACTCTATGCACCACAGAATGAAACACTGCCCGGTCCTGGGCCAAACTCATAATCATTGCTATGCCTGAGTCCATCGCTTCCACCACTGTGCCAATCCATCTCGTTGGGGGTCCTCCTCTCCAACCTCCACTTTACCAAACGTGTTATCTTTTTCCTGTGATGTGACTGGTCCCTCCTTTCCAGTTAGTAACAGATTAATGGTGCTGCTGTGTTAGCTAGTGAGTCTTGTATAGATAGCATTGAACTCTATTGGTCAACTGATAGTATTTGGAAACAATTTGATAAAGGCTCACAGGGCTAATTTGTAAAAACTTTAGCACTTATCCCTCATGGACCACCCACCTTTTTTACCCCTGCCCTCTATCCAGACCTAGGTGTATTTCTAAAATTGCTGATTTAAGAACTCATGAAGTCATTGTATACTTGTGTTTGGAAAACATTTAAAACAGTTGTAATTGAAGGGGAAAATCAATATATTTAAATTTTTATTAATTACTTTCTTTCGTTACTATATTCATTCATCTCTGCTTAGTTTTGAGTGTGTTTTAAAATTGGTAAATCTTACATAGTGGTGGTGGTGGTGGTTATGTGCCGTGGAGTCAGTTCTGACTCGTAGTGACCCTGTACAGGGTTTCTGAGGCTGTAAATCTTTACAGGAGCAGAAAGCCTCATCTTTCTCCCTCAGAACAGCTGGTAGTTTCGAACTGTTGACCCTGGGGTTTGCAGCCTGATTCGTAACCACTACACTACCAGAACTCCTTAAGATCTTATATAGAATTACAAAATCTCTTCTTTATACCTATGTGTTCAATTTAAATCTATCCCCTAAAGCTCTGTAGTAAAGCATTTCTATAGTCATGGGCAACAATGATTGCAGGACTAATTTGGAGAGTCCAGTCTCTCTTGGGATGACCACTGAGCTGCCCTCAGTTTCCTTAGTTCGGCCACCTCACTATACTGCCAAAGCTTCATGATTTCTCTATGTTCCAGAATAAACTACTTACCCAGTGGCCTTAGTGTTGAGAATACGTGAAGGAACCGCAAAGACTGATTTCATAGTCATTCCGTTTTCTAGCTTTCATTCATGAAAATTGCAAATAATACCAGAGGCTGATACTTAGATGATAATAATGAACATCACTGATGTGTCCAGAAGTCAGCAAATTGCTTCAAACGGTAGTGATTTTTTTTTTTTTTTTAATTACTTGGTGACTCCTTCTAAAGACAGATGTTAACAGGCTCATATTTTTCAGTCTTACAGTACATCTCAAGAAAGCAGAAAATACAGGCCTGATATTAATCTTGGATCTGTATTTGGTGCTAAATATAAGTTTATTTCTCATTGCTATTTTAACAGTTTTGCTTCAGTATAAAATTTCCACAGGAAGAAGAGAGAAGCAAACCACAGCGCAAGTGTTTCTCCCATGAATCGAGCATATACGCCTCTGACATGAGATAGCAGTCCCTTAGGGAAATGCCAGCAAGTGTATTTTTTTTAATGAGAGAAAATATAGCCAGCTTCTTACTTACTAAAACAAAATTTAAGTCTTTATTAAAAGCAACCACATGGTGGAGGCAGCTCTAATATATCTGTACATTCATGTTATGAAAAGACAACTTATACTGTTAAATACAGGATTATCAGAACTGCCACTGGTTTCTGAATTAAAATCATAAGTCATCATTTCTCTGCTTCCTGCCTCTATCTTTTGTTCTAGGAAATGTGCTCTTGAACTATATGATTTTCTACACCTTGTAATTTCTTCTCCCCTTTACCAGAAATTATTTCTCAGGTTATTTCCTGTCAGCCATGTACAATTCTGCTACCTCCCTTTACTTCTAAGTGTCCAAACGCCTACAGTACTCCTTAACTTGACCATCTGAAGATAAATAAGTCCCATTCCCCCACTAGGTTGATTAATCACCAAACATCGTTGTTGTTGTTGTTAAGTACGATCAAGTCAGTTCCAACTCACAGCGAGCCTGTAAAGGGTTTAAGAGGAGCAGCTGGTGGATTTGGACTACAAGGCTGTTTGTGGCTCAAACTGGCCTTGTGGTCCAGCACATTATCCTGCAGCACCACAATCGATTCTGACTCACAGCATCCGTATGCACAAAAGAACAAAACACTGCCTGGTCCTGCATCATTTAACTTCTCAACTGTCGTTATGTTTGAGTCCATTGTTTCTGCCACGGTGTCATTTCATCTCCGTGGGGATTGTCTAGTGTTATTAAAACAGAAACAGCAGAAATTGATGGTTTTAACAAACAGAAATTTGTTCTCTCACAGTTTCGAAGGCTAGAAGCCTGAAGTCAGAAATGTCCTTGTCTCCTTTCAGTATTGGTAAGCCCAGTAGTCCTTGGAGATAGCAATATGCCTTAGCATCAATCTTTCCCTGGATCTAGGTGTTTCACAGTACAAAGACTTCGGGTCGGTACAAAGGACACTTTCCACTCTCAGCTCTTCTTTCTTGGTGGTAGTGGTGGTGGTGGTATGTCATGGAGTCGGTTCGACTCATAGCTACTCCACATAGGGTTTCCTATGCATCATCTTTCTCCCACAGAACAGCTGGCAGTTTCGAACTGCTGACCATGAGGTTCAC